GGACACATACATTCCTAGGACTAGACGTAGATTTCCTGGCAGGTGAAGGAAGGTCCCTCCTGTAGCCAGGACCCTGTGTGTGCATGAGGATTGAACACTCTTCTTCCAGGGCATTGAATTCCAGAATTCCAGTTAATGCATTTAGACACCAATAGAAAAAGCTCAACATCTTCAAAAAGTCAGTGATGAGGTAGGAAAGCAGATCCAAAAGAAAACGCAGTTCTCCGAAAGGCTGAATAGGCAGCAAACAAAAATAATCGTTTTATGTGATAATACTAATTTTAAAAGAAAAACTGTTACCGAACAGCCTTTCCAGGGCCAGGGGAGCCTGTTGCATCAGTGGAGTAATTGCAGCATATATGCATATGCATTAAGAAAATTACGTGTAGGCATGTCTGATTATAGCTGAGGACCCAGGAACTGTTTTGAATGGCTGTTAACAGTGTAAAGAATGAGGTTATTCATGGGCTGGACTCTGGCTGGGCTGGATGCAGGTGCAGAATGTGTGCTTAGGTGGGAGAAGGGTGCAGTACCCACCGTCCCTGCCCTCGTTTTGTATGCATGGGGTGGAATTACAGAGGGAGTTTACTCGCATGAGTAATGCACTTATGCTGGAGTTAGATTCCTCATTCAGTTTATGTATTACTGAGGCATGATATTTAATTTAAGCCTATATTGAACCAAGCTCATAAATGTCGGCTACAGCAGACTGTTTGCGTGTCTTCCCCCTTGAAATGGCGGCACTTCCAAACCATCAACCAGGAGTTGTCCAATCGAGATTTAATTACAAAGGATTGTCTGTTGTGGCTTTTAAGCCTTTCTGGGCTATCACTGTCCTTTAATTAAGAGAGTGAGGTTATGATTAGTACTTTTCTATTATGTAGCACTAAATGTGTTTCTTCAGAGTGTTCTTAAGCTTTTACCTTTCCATAAAGTTAAGGACTTTATTTTCACTTTCTTTCTGTGATTCTCTGCCAGGAGATGTTGCAATTGCTTTAAAGCATTTCTTCAGTCCTCCTTGTTTGTAATTGTAGTTTACATTTTACGTACCTGTGGCAATGTTTGGTTACAGTAAAGCTATATATGATGACTGCATACCTGAAAAGACAATACAACTTAAGTACTACATATCTATGTTCATGGAAAGATCATTTACCACCTCAGCTGTTTTCAGTGAACAACTCATACATGTCTTAAACCTATTAAGTTCAGAATTTAATGTGAGATTTCTAGCCAGCTTCTGTATCTGTGCTTTCCAGAAGACTCAAATGACTGATCATTCTAAAACATGTGCACAGAATCTTAACTGGAAATATGGTTGAATTTTAATGAGGAAGTGGTAGAAACATTAAGTCTTACGCAGTACCAGAAGTTAGGTAAAAGCTCCAATTGAGAAGGGAAAAGTATTTCACTGAAGTTCTGCTACTGAGCTTTCTCTGAACATAACTAGAAAAAGTAGCTTTTCTGTGTAAACAAACTAAAAAGCTTATCCACGCGCATCGGAGGGTTTTACAGACGCAGTGTTCTTTACCGGCAGGTCCAAGAGTTCTTTATAAATATTTGTTACTAACAGTTCTACATTGTCCTGGTGATGTAGATAAGTGTTACTTGTACTGTGCTGAAGCCAGGGGTTCTATGTTAAATGTCACTCAGAAAATTAATTTTAGAGGGAAGGAGGCGGCTTGTACTTGATCTTTCTTCTCTAATCACTGATTATATTTTCTCTGGAGCAAGGGGAGGAAGGAGCAAAATATTTCCCTTCTGTGTTTGTAGCCTTACCCTGATTTCAGCCAAGTGTTAATTGAATTTCTGAGCAAAAAGTCATTTGTCTGAAGTAGCAACTAGTGCTAGAAGAAACAATGTTTTTCAAAGTATTATCTTCTTTGTTTGTGATTGAGACTATGTAATGTTTTTATTTTTTGTGAGAAAAGTCTCAAGAAAATTGTCAATATCACAATCCTTTTACTTTTAAGCCTTTATAATATTTTTTCAACCTTTAAAAACCTCCATAATTCCAACATACTTAAAACTGCCAAGCTAGAAAATGCTTCTTACGTCGTCTTAAAATAGCTTTAATAGCAGCAGAGCAGTAAGATGTATGTGAAAAAGCTTCAGTATGAGAACAATTCGGCAGGGATGCCAGTATTTCTCTGCTACACCTGAGCTTTACTGGGGCCAAGATACCATCCCATCAGATTAAGTGACTTTGGGTCATAAATTATGCATCATCCTGTTTTATTCTAGTTTAATTGGAGCAATTTACTGGTCTCTGATCAATAAAAGCATAAAACTGGGAAAACAAAACAGCGTATGCATGCACAAATCTAAAGCAAACTCTGAAAGGCAGTCTTGTGGCCAAATAAATTTAACATAAAGGACCACTTACATCAAAACAGAGACTAACAATAAAATGGAACGGTATTCTTCCAGGTCAGTGTCCGTGGCAGACACTAGGGAGTGAGAAGTACAAGCTATGCTTAATTTGAACAAAGGAGGATAATTTATGCATCCAAGAAAACCTTACTCAAATGTGTTACATTTTTACTGAGCAATAAATAATACCCGATCAAATCAGTTCAGTGTTTGGTCCCAGATCCTCCTCTGTATTCAGCTGAACAGTGCATAAATGAACTCGGTATTATGATTTGGTTTAGATTTGTGTGTCTCATTTTACAATAGGATGAGCAATTTGCTGCAAGCAAATTTTGAAGAAATGTTATTTTAGTTATCGAGCTGTTGCTGTTCTGAACTTCTAAATGCAGTTTGCCATCCATCAGACTCGTCTGTCCCTGTGAATGTAGCAGACACCCAATAATACAGGCTGTCTTCTTCATGCTTGGGAAAACATGGTTTGGAATGATAAGCATCGTGGTCTGCACTTCACAGATGAGATGATCAAGAAGTATTTTTTTCACCGTTTTAACTTACCTGTTTGATCTGTGAAACTGCAGTCAGGAGAAGAAAAAAGCATGAAAACATTTCGGGGTTGTGAGGAGGGGAAAAGCCTTTCAGTAGTTCTGTACTCGTTGGAAGTTTTAAAGATGTAAAATGATACTTGGAGTTGGCAGTTTGGGGAGCTTTTTCAGAATTAAACAGTTGGAAATGTCTCCATTACTCATGCTGATAAGGAGCTCCGAGTTGTTCATTCTCAGCAAGTCCTTTTCCATCAGCACCAGGAAGTGCTGATGTTTCTCTGGCAAATGTAGCTAAAATTTGTGCAGGAAAAGATGTGCATTTGATCCCTATCCAGGAACAAGTAGGTGCAGGATAGAAGAGTCAACACTCACTGAAATTATTCAGGAGCTTAAAGATTTTCATGCAGAGGACAGAAAACCCAACCAACCAACCAACCAAAAAACATCTCAGGTATCTGTCACTGAAGCAACATCTGCATGTTGTGTTTTGCATTAGTATAGTTGTCCCGGTCAGGGTAAATTTGTTAAGGTCAAAGCTGACTTGGACCAAGATGTAGGTAAGTCTGGAGGAATTCTGTTGAAATGAAGGTAGCTTTAAGGTATGAAGTAAAGCATGAGTTTGGATTGTCTGGCATGCCAGTCTTCTTTCCCTCTTGAGAAGGTTACTAATTGCAAGAAGGCAAATCTGCTCCTGTTGGAAACATTATTCACCATTTAAATGAAATATTATAACGGAAGGAAGGAATTGTTAAGGCTGGTATGGAATATTAAGACTTCTTGTACCCTGTGTCAAGAGGCATAGGAACAGGAAGGTAGTTCTTCCGTCATTCAGGATGTGATTAATAATATCTCATTATTTCATTCAGGAACACCTAAAACAAAAGACCCCTGAAGTGAAGTAGGTATCTGGCATGGCATTCAAAGGTTGGATTTTTGGATGAGTTCTTAGGTTGAGATCTGAAATCCCATTATCAATTTAGGTGGGAATTGAGTTCTTAACACTTGTTCTTTTTTGAACATCTTGGTTTAAGTATATTTATTCTTCAATTTACATAGTTTTCTGACTTTGAAGTCCCGTGGAGATTCTGCTGTCCGTGCAAGATGATTTACTTAAACATGTCCAAGTACCATGCTACAAAACTATACCACAGTCTGTATATTACTGGGTTACCTGATGTAAATACGGTGTGCATTTATTATTATTCATTGTTAAGGTACCTAGTCTTGGTCGAACAAGATAAACCTCAAATTACTCCATTCTAGATTTATTGAAAACTAACAGGTACATTATCGTGTTCCTTTTTTCGTAGTGGGGAAAGTGGTGCTGGAAAGACTGTAGCTGCTAAATATATCATGAGTTATATCTCCAAAATTTCAGGAGGTGGCCCTAAAGTACAGGTGAGTTGATACAGAATAGTACTGAAGCATAAGCATAGTCTAAAGATTTACTTCAGAGGTAATACGACAAAAGCATGTCGTGGCAGACATGAGGCACTCAACTGAAGAAGCTTGTGGGTGAGCAGCTAGAAATACTTACAAGCCCTCAATAGCAGAGACAGCTGAAGTGGACAGTGACCTGCTCGCTTGCAGGTTACTGAGCTGCCTGTGTGATGAGAGCTGTATGAGAAAAATCCATGGACACAGAATCAGCTCTGCTGAGGGATTTGTGGCTCTTGTGCTGAATTATGCCTACAAGCAATTTCATTTATTTATTTATTTAAAGTTAAGGGGTAAAGGTACTGTAATTATTGTTCTTAACCAGATTAAGAACAGCAATCAACCTCCTCTTAGTAGATGTGTGGGGTTTTCCTTCTGTGTTGTTCGCTTTCTATTGAGAACTGATCTGGTGTTTTGGGGTTTTATTATTTCCATTAAAGCTCTGATTTGTAGGCATACCTCAGAGAGCCAGCAGTAGGAGTATCATCTTGTTTCTTGAGGTTTTCTAGTCAAAATACAGAGTATCTGAAAGTCTGTTGAAACAACAAATAGCTGCTTTTGTTAGTAGCTATACTATCAATGTCTGCTCTATCAAAATCTATTAGCTAAAGCTAATTGAGTGAATCAGCTGCAAAAATTCCCTTATTGATATTACAAAGTCTGATGTTACATAGGCTGACAGGCAGTAGTAGGTAGGTAGTAGCAGCATTTGCCAGTCCACTCTTTTTGAGTGCTTACTGTTAGTTTTTTGCTTTATTGCAGTCTCTGATGTTTAGTGTGTTCTTCCTGCTTAGTTTTGTGAACAGTGATACTGGGAACATTGCAAAAGAATGACCCAAGAAAGTATGCGTTGTGTTATTTTTGGAATAAGTATAATCCTATTTTATAAGTAAATATTTTGTGTATTTAAAAGATTCCAGCTTTTTGTACACAATTAAACAATATTCCTAGTGATTCCCAAGTAACGGTTGATGAAGTTGGTAAGTTGCCTTGAGAATTTCTTTTGAAATAAAATTTAGTCTTCTCTTCATGACCCAGCATGCACTGTTCCAAAGCTAATGTCTTCTCTACATTTCCAACTCCTAGGATCAGATGAGGAGACAATAGTAACATACCTAGTTGCTTTCTAAGACAACTAGATAGCAGCATCATTGATCCCAGAACAGGTTGCTGAAGCACCTGCAGGCTCCTATATTTCACACCACTCTGACTTCATTGATTGTGGTTGAGGCCCCCCTAAAGGATTTAAATGTTCACGTGTAACAAGGAAATTGCTTAAAATCAAGATAAGGAAAAAACCATATCAGTTTATTGGCTGTGTTGCTTGACAGAACAGTGAACAGAAGGACCAGTTTCTATAGACAGTTTGTTCAGTTTTGTAGGTTTTTCTTCAAAAAATAGGAACTAGAAGCTCTGAAAAAAAAAAAAGGTTAGATTTGGTTCCTTATCTGATCCAGAGGGTTTCTTACAGATGCAGGCTTTGTGGCTTTTTAATACACAATTGAGATGTCATGGGTTTCTAGGAAATCTTTAATCATTTTTAAAATGTTTCTGAATCTCTATTTCTCTTCTCCTGAAATTTTAGCATGTTAAAGATATTATTCTACAGTCCAACCCTTTACTGGAGGCTTTTGGGAATGCAAAAACTGTACGGAACAACAACTCCAGCAGATTTGTAAGTCCTTCTGCCTTAGAGATTACTTTATTCTTCCAACTTCTGTGCTGTTACAGAGACAGTATTCAGGAGTGTAACATAAATTGATTACAAATGAGCTAAATAAAATACAAAGTGTGTTTTAAAGCATGATGTTAAGAGGCATCTGTTTCATTCTGTATAGGTTGTGCATTTGGTTCTCTTACAATATGTACTGGTCAGTATATTTATAAACTGTTCAGTCTGCAAACAAATAACTTACCAGCAGCAAACTGGCCAGTTTTCCGGATCAGCAGAATAGATGCAGTAATACATTAAAAAAAAATACAAAAAAAGATAGGTGTTTGTTTTTTAAATAGATGAAACCACCCTTAGAGTTGTTTGGTGGGAAAGGCCTTTACTAATATGTACAGAAAGTAGGCAGGCATTATCTTCAGTCTGTCTGTTAGACTATTAGGCTATTATAAAATAGTCAATATTGTGAAACGACTGTTCACTAGAGAACGTACTGTAGGTTCTGTTTTTAAAAGTTATACATAGGCTTTACAAACCTGAGATTTGTTCCTCACCAATATGAGTGTTAATGCCATTAATATCCTCCCTGAAAGAAGAAGATAATTGCTTTACCTTCCTTCCAAGCAGAACGTTACATTTGCCATTGGTTGTAAATCTGTTCAATTTACTTCCTGCATAGGGGGGCCTTATGGCTTCCTTTACACTAAGCAGGAGTCTCAGCAGTGAAAAGAAGCCACTGACTTCCTCTCTACATTTGCTTTAACACATGATGTATTATCCTGAGTCTAGTGCTGTGTAAATGCAAAAAGAAAGATATGTGGTACTTCAGGAATCCAAGCTTAGGTTATACCTTGAGGCAGCCGTATCACTGCATCCATAAAGAGTAAATATCCTAGTAGCCTTCCTTGTGGTAACATACAAGTGCATGATTTCAGATTTGTATGCACTAATCATTTCAACAGCTTTAATTGTTTATTGCAGGGCAAATACTTTGAAATCCAGTTTAGCCCAGGTGGAGAGCCGGACGGAGGGAAAATCTCCAACTTCCTACTGGAAAAGTCTCGAGTTGTAATGAGGAATCCGGGAGAGAGAAGTTTTCACATTTTTTACCAGGTCAGAAATGTCCTTTCCCAGGTATTTAAAATAACTAGGACAAGTTTTTCCTTTTGATTGAAAAGTCATGCTCAACACAGTGAGATTACTGAGTGCACACAGCACAAGGTAATCTGGACACGAGCTGGAAACTTGACAGCATGTTAAGGTACCCTCTAACATAGACCTACTTAGCTGCCTTGCGGCTCCAGAACAAAAATACTTCAATATGTCAAGTTCTCTTCTGAGGTTTGTTAGTTTGTTCACTCCTTCCTATTGCAGCCATGTCAGTGCACAACTGTGAAGACTTTACATGGGGCTGAGGAGCTTCTTCTCTGGCATCACTGAGAGTACAGGAACCTTTTATTAACTACTCTGTTATTTAGTCTTGGCCCTGTTGGCCTAAATGGTGCAAAGAGGTTGACTTGAGCCACATTCAAATCAACAGCATTGGAGCAGTTCAAAGCTTGCTTAATGTGTACCATAATAGGCCAAAAGGATACTTGGTCTCACAGCGAGAGTCACAAATAATGCTTTCTTAGGATGTTCTTTCATCTCTGCCTACTTCGAGTAGGCACGGAAAACAGGATGCTCCTGAGAATTTAGATAAGACATTGCAGATTCAAAAAACCCATGTTGCCTGGGCTTTATGAGATAATGGAAGACATTCAAGTCAGTCACAGGCTTTGCTTTTTACTAGATGTGGAAGTTAGAACTAAACCCTTAGTGGGAATGGGAATGAGAATCTGGTCTTTTGGGTTAAACAATTATCAAAGCACAGGAAGGATACATACCTGGCACAGCACTATGTCTCCCAGTAATTTCAGGCTGTGTCACCTGTTTCCAACCTATCTCGTCTTTGCTGAAGATCCTTGTATGACACCTATTTTGGGGATTTCTATTCTGCAGCTAATTGAAGGGGCCTCCTCAGAACAAAAAAGCAGTCTTGGCATTACCAGTATGGACTACTATTACTATCTTAGCCTCTCTGGGTCCTACAAGGTTGATGATATCAACGACAAATCGGATTTCCAAGAAACACTGGTGAGGTTTTTTTACCCTATGGTTTGCATAGTGCTTGACATGTGTCATTTTACTGTTCATTTGTAGCAAAGATATTGATGTGTTAATGTGGGATTGAGAAATTAATGTAGGTATAACTTACTTAAATTATGTTTTACCCTGAGGGAGGTACGTTACCCTGAAGAGGTCCCTAGTTGCAGGTCAAGAAGCGTGCGAAAAGAGTGTTGCAAAACGCGTGGTTTAGCGTCGCTTTAGTCAGTTGAGAAGACGTTCTAAATTACACGTACTCTAGACTCCAGACCCCATCTTCTTGTGGATTATTTTCTAGTAGATTGCTGAAATTCAGCCTAAACCAGACAGACTGTGCTGCTTTTTAGAGTCACTCAGTACGGCTTCACAGTTCTTGGTCTCAGTAGCTGAACTGTCTGCGTAGAAGGAATAAAATTGTTGTCTCTTAAGTTCATTGTTTCCTATTTTGCAATGAAACTATTTATTTTTAGTGTGACACTTAAGAGCAGGTGCTTGGTTTTTAGTAACTAACTTCCATTTTTTCCCAGAATTTCTTTTGCTAACGTGTCTTCTAAATGGTGTAGATGCTTCTATATTTAATTAGAAAAATACAGAAATGCTGAAGTAAGACAGCTGGTACCTTTTGAAACTTCAGTGCAGGCTGTAATGAAATTTGGTTGCCTTAAGAATTTGAATTGCTTTGAAAACCCCAGATTTTTAATGTCAATATCTTAAAGGGACTTGTGTGACAAAAGTCATTGAACAGATTCTTCAACTGATCCAGTATTTTTTTTCTTTGCAGCATGCAATGAGTGTGATTGGGATCTTCGCAGAGGAACAGGCATTGGTGCTGCAGATAGTGGCAGGAATACTGCATTTGGGAAACATCAGCTTCAAAGAAGTTGGCAACTATGCAGGAGTGGAGAGTGAGGAATGTAAGTACCTCTGGAAACTCTTACAGAAGTAGCAATGGGCTGAAGCCCAGATGGTGTGAAGAGAACTGCAATCTTGAGCTGCTTATCCAAACACAGTGCATCATTTCTTACAGGGTGAGGCTGCTAACGTAGACTGTCTTCCAAAAGCAGTGGTACTGAGGCCCCTGTTCTGCCTTATACAATGCCACTGACTTAACAGGGGTGCAGTTTTGCATTTTGAATTTAAGAAATCCTCTTCCAGCCTTTGAGTATGAAATAATAGGAATTGTGAGAAATGCTTTCAAGCAAGCTTGGATTCTGCTCCTCTCAGTGCATCAGCACACATTCATAAAAATACCCGTTTCTTATGTGGTTTGTCTGACCTCATTTTCATGTGGAAGCAGCTACCAACTTGTGGGGTATCCCCAGTGTCAGGCATACAGTCGGTGCTCAGGCAGATACATATATATGTGTCCAGAAGAGGTGCCTTAAAAAAAGAAATTCAAAATTGAATTGGCTTTCAGAATCTGCATACTAGAGTTCTGTTCCCTTTCTCAAATTTCTCAACCCATACCTCCTTATTAGATACCTCTGCTGTGTAACTGTTTGTTTATTGCTTCCTTATCCACAATGCACAGTCTTTACATCCATCACCTCTTGCTGCTGTTTTCTATCAGCTCGGCCCACATCAGTGAGATGTTGAAAGATGATTGATCTTGATTTTTCAACTTTTTTGTCATGATTTGTACCTTGCGTCTGATGTTGATTTTATGCTGTCTTCATAGTTTAAGGACAAGAGTGGGTAAGCACAGCATATGTAGTAGCTTATACATACCGATCTGTTCTCTTAACTCTTACTTCAGAATGGTCCTTATGTTTAGGAAGACTGCATTTGTTTAGTTTCAGGTAAGTTAAGTATGAATAAAGTATATTGTTTAGTCAGCTTCCCTCTCAGCTGTATTAGTATTCTCCTGCTATTTCTTTTAAAACACAGGGAAATAAACATTAGTCATTTTTAACCTTAATTTCGTGATTTGAGAGAATAGTAAGTGAACCCAAAGAACAACATTTTGGGGCTTTTTATACATCCAAATAAAAGTATAGGAATTTTTATATGCCTTACGATTCCAGGAGTTACTGTGCTTCCATATTAATCACAGTATTCAATCTTTCAATGAAATCCGGACATAGCTAGACAAGATAGATTACAGAGCGTTGCATCAAAAAGTACCAAACTGAAAAGACAGGAGTTGAGAGTAAGTTGGTAAATGTGAACGGATTTTTGTGATGAGCCATGTACACTGTATTTTTCTTGCTTGCTGGAGTATAAGTACAGAAGTAGTGTATGAATAATACATTAAAAAAATTAGCAGATAGAATCAGTATAGAACTTCCTCATAAACATACTGCATTGTAAACGAGCCAGAGAAGAAAGAGCAACATCTAGTACAATTTCTGCATTATGAAGTTGAGTTGGGTTCATTTCTGTTCTCCATTTCTCCTCCCAGTTTACTGTTTGTCCTAGCCAACTAAATAGTAAAGCATTTATAGCCTGGACAGCCATGAAAGATAAAACACAGTGAAAGACCACTGATAAGTCATGCTTTGCATAAGTCTGAAATAATAAAAAGTTCTAAGAATTTGGTCAATAGAGTTCTTGTTATTTTATAGCCAACTGCGGAAAAACATGCAGAGGCCATTCTTCAAGACACCAAAACCTCTGGTCTCATATTCTGAGTCAGAATTAAATCTAGACAGACCATTCTTGCCTGACATTTAGACAAATACTTCTTTAAAACTGCTAGTGATTACTGTCTGTTACAGTCCTTGATTATAATTAATATTTGGGGAAAAAAAAAAAGTTCTCATTATTTATTCTAAATATTCCATGCTGCCAATCATGCCAAATACTACTTGTTCCTTCCTGGCTGCAGAAAACAGTTCAAACCATCCCTCTTTACACTTGCGTTGTATCGAAGGGTTTGCATTACACTTTCTGAAAACGGATGACGTGAGCCTGTCCTTTTCCAGCTTTTCTTCACAGATTGTATTTAAAGCAATTCCACAGAATGCTACTGGTGACTCTCCGAGGATCATTTTTTCAATTTCGTGCAGACTCTGCTTTCTGGTCTGGATGGTTATTCTGTGGTCCCTAACTAGGGAAAATAATCAAGCATCTTAAGAATGAGAAGTTAGAACCAGTCATGTCCAGCTATTCCTTCTTTGTAGTAAATCATTAGCACTGTGAAGGAAGATTCTCGGGTGTACATAGTGGTTCTTAATAAATCCTTACAGTGGTATTGGCTGGTTCCTAGCACTCTAGAGTAAATTTAGTCTGCGTTCTGATGGCAATAAGTCAGATTTCAGAAAGCTGGTGGTTATTTGAAGTCTTAAAAATAATTTTGGATTAACGTACTGTTGGGTTTGGTGAAATCGCTGTGACGTTGCAGATGTGTAAAGTACAAGTGGCTGCTGCCTTAGCAATTATTTTACATCCTCCTCATGCTAGTAAAGTAGATCTGAAAGCAACGGAATGTGGAGGAAACACTGTTAGAGGATTGTGTGGTTTAGTGGAGGTGCAATACCAACTCCAAGGGCTGCCCTTGGGAGCCTGTTCCATTTGCTTTTAAGCCATTTCTCTTTTTCCATTCCTTTAAGGTGTGTGACACCTGCAGCTAACATCTGACCATGTGTTAAGAATGCAGAGTACAAGACTTGTGGCTGCTTATTGCACAGATGTATTTTTATGCTTTACTTTTAAACAAGAAAACCAGAATTTGCAATTGTACTTCCAGAGTAAGGGATTAAAAAACCAAAACCAAATAAATGGTAAGGCAGTTGAAAACTTTTTGCAGTATCTTAGCTTACAAGAAGAAAGGGAGAGACCGTTAGGAAGCAGATAGCATATTCTTTGTTGCAATTCAAACATTTCATGATTTTACAAAGAATTTTTAATTGTGTCAATTTGTATTTAATGTGTGAGCTCTATGTTTCATGTCTGTCTTCCCTGAGAGTAATTTGTTTGAACCACATAGTTCAAAACTATGATCTAAGCTAGCTTATATGTTTGAAGGACTGAAGGTACAGAAATAACTAATTTACTTCAATGTGGTTTATCTTAATTGAAATCCATGTAAGTAAGGAATTGAAGATGTCCTTGGGGAGGTTAGGGAAATTTTAAAGACATAAATCTCACCTCTTTTTAAGCTACTTGCCCTGTAAGGTTTATTACTGCTGATTGTTATTAGAGATATAGCTAATTTTTTTTCCCTTCATTCTGTATTGTTTTAGTCCGTGAGTCATAATCCAGCAAACCCGATCTTTCTTACAGTTTTGGCTTTCCCTGCTTTTCTCCTGGGAATTAACCAGGAGCGCCTAAAGGAAAAACTGACCAGCAGACAGATGGACAGCAAGTGGGGAGGCAAATCTGAGTCCATTAATGTAACGCTAAATGTGGAACAAGCCTGTTACACCAGGGATGCACTGGCCAAGGCCCTTCATTCCCGTGTTTTTGATTACTTGGTGGATGTAAGTTGGATTTGCTTGAATCTGCTGAAATATTAAAACAAAATAGAAGTACACTAGGAATGTTTCTTGCAGTGCTTTTCTTGTCTGTCATTTCTTTCACCCAATTTCCTTGCCTGAACCTTAGCAGCAGCACTGAGTAATGCAGTGGGAGCCTGACCACGGGTATCACGTACCAGACACTGACAATATGACAAGTGCTACGCACTCTTTGAAGCAAATGGGCAGTGCTTTCAGCACTATATTTGCAGTCTCCTGCCACAGCTGTCCCATATGACATTCTGACATCTTCTTTCTGTCAGCATCATGCTTCTCAGAGTCTTACTTTCTCTTAAGTAGTGGATTATTTTCAGAGGAGCACTGAGGCTGCGAAGCAGGGGAATATAGGAACAGGTGAAAAGATTCATGGTGCCATCTGCAAAATGCATCAAATATCAGACTTAAAGCTCTTCTTTGTCTGCTGGCTTCCTTTTTTTTTTTCTAACTGAGCCAGTTATGACACAGGGAAAAGATTTTTACGAACAGTAGATCTGAAAGCTCACTAACCTGGAAAACAGGGTGGCGTACTCTTCATTTCCTAGCTGTTAATAACACTCTATTATAAAGTGAAAGTAAAATACTCTGTTACATGTATTTGTATTCCATTCAAATATGTTCTTTTTAAAGAAACTCAGTATTTTTATATAAGGATTTAAGGATATGAATATATCTTTTAAATATATAAACTACATTTTGTTTTACATTTTGTTTGTTTTATTAGTCTATTAATAAAGCTATGGAGAAGGACCATGAAGAATATAATATTGGTGTCCTTGATATTTATGGCTTTGAAATATTCCAGGTAAGGCAGAGCGATACTCGCGGTTTGAGCTGATCTGACCTGGGAGAATTTTTTGTTATTTAGAGGGGAAAAAAGTCCAAACCACAAGAAACCCCAAACAAATCCCATGGCCAAACCCCACCCCAGCTTCCTGGACATTGAGTTCTCACTGCTAATGTCTCACTTCATAAACACGAAGTATGGAAAAAACTTCAAAGAAACTAGGTCAGTGATCTTGTAAGAAAGATCTGAGATTACACAGAATGTCTATAAAGTCAGCAACCCATCTATCATTGACAGTGTTTCTTTGAAGCTTAGTGCCAGCATGAGAACTAAGAATAACTGTATATAAAGCACAAGACTAATTTTTAAATTGTTTCCTTTTCTATAGAAAAATGGTTTTGAACAGTTTTGCATCAACTTTGTTAATGAAAAACTACAGCAGATTTTTATTGAACTGACACTGAAGGCAGAACAGGTAACCAGACATTTATTATTTTTGAGTTCCTAAACATACTATTGCTTTTTTAGTGGTGAAAAAAATGAGGTCTCATTGTCTGCTGACAATAACATTTGCCTCGATAAGCAAGACAAAGGAAAAAATTACCTTTCTTGTTGGCTGACCCTAAAACTGTGAACAGTTTTAGCTACAGGCATTTATTCTCTCGTACAGTGGCAGAGAATTGAGTCCATCACAGTTTACTTACTAATGCAGTCATATGACTCTGCCCAGACTTGCTGCATATTCTGACTCATGGACAGAAATGGAAAACTGCAGCTTGGTTCCATCCCTGTGCTTTCGTTGGACATGACACACATTTAAATGGGAGTGCTTTTCTTAATTTCCTCGACACCCTTTTCATTTTTGTTCATATATATATGTATATATAAATGAAATACATTACTGAGACATGCAAAAATGCTTCTGAAAGTATTTGCAGTTCTCTGCTCACAGTCTTACCACAAAAATCTCACTTTATATGAGTGTGAGCTTCTGCATGGGAGGGCAGACAGAATGCAGCTGAGACAGAAGCACTGGTACAGCATGAGCTCAGGCCTGGCACCAGCTTTAGGACAACGGTTTCAAGAATGCCTTTGTATAAAAGTAACTGATCATTGGTGCTGAGCGCCCAAATGACCTGCTAAGTGTCCAGCTCAACTCATAGGTATGCAACTGATGGGTCAGTTGAATTTAGTGTGATTTTTCCCTCCAGTCTCTTGACGGTTACAGTGATTGTGTACAGGAATAAAAGAGCTGTGTCTCCACTTCATGTGCATTTCTAAAGGTATTGTTCTGGGGGTCTGATCCTTTGATACGCCCATCACAGTCTGAATTTTTAAAATAAATTATGATATGGATCCTTAGGTGCACTGTCAAGATAGTGTAAAAATCACTTGCAAAGGGCTTTGACAGTGAATGCACCAATGAAAGAGTCCTGCTCTTACCAGGTACTACCCAAGGGCTATGAATGACAATAGTGGGTGTGGAGAGAACAGAGAAGGACTCTGATTCATCTCTTTGGCAGTAGAGAGTGGATTTAACTATGATTAGGGTAATTTCT